AGGAGTGAGTGAACAGGGCCTTTTAAGCCATACATTTGTCTTTTCGCAAGTAGAAATGATGATCATTGTATCGATGGCCTTGGACAAATCTAAAAAAATACAACATACAGATTTTTTTCCCTGTTTGTCCAGTAAATTTTTTAAGAGATTCACTATCGCATCATTTCTCGCATCATTTTAGGCACTTTTTGGAAAACGTTGACGAAAAAATCGCATTTTTTGGCGAACGCTCCCCTCTCAAAATTAGTTTATATTGGCGTCGAAATTTTTTTCGGCAAAGTAGTACAATGGGGGGACTCTTTGGGTCGGCAGAGGGTCGAATCCCTGAAGAATGCAATAGGCCACCCCTAACCCTCCCCCCCCCCCTAATTCCGGCCCTGTACTCCTGTTGTAGTCATGAAATTGGCACAGTGTTAAATATGCTCATCATCAGGTATTACAATCCGATGAGCGGAGCTGTGGATGACTCATCTCCACCAGAGAGTAACACGGCCACTTCAACTGCAACATGCACATGTGCCAATGGTCTGTGTATGGACAGTGCCATATGTCCATGTCTAGCCAGGGCTTCCACGTGTGCTGCAGAGTGCAAATGTATGGACTGTGAGAACCCTCTGAATGTGTTGAGAGTGGTTCATCAAGTGCCTCTTGAGAGAGTGCTAGCTGATATATGTCTGCTGCAGAATTTAGTGGCCAACGTTAGTAATATGGAACAGGGCAACAAACCGGAATGTTTTGTAAATTACTCAAAACAGTAAGAGAAACAAAAATACGGAGTTATTACCAAAAAATTTTGCTAGAAATAAAAAAAAATGGCCACTCAGCGTTCAGCGTTGAGCTTCATTTATTTTTTTTTCGGGTAACTTCATGTTCGATTAATTTGGGCAACGTAAAATGTTCACATGCCTCATTGATTATGAGAATTAAAAAAGAGCTTGTTGCGCTTGTTTCTTCTCGCTCATTTGATTAATGCGTTTATAAAGTTTTTTTTGGTTCTTTGCTCTAATTCAAAATATGGGATTTCAAAATGCCAATCCATATTTGATAAAGTAATAACTTTTACTTCAGCCGAGGGTACAGATAGCGAGGATCAGCACTGGTTCCACGTACAGACTCCCCTGTTGTCAGACACCAGTCACAACCCAGGACATCCTGCAGTCGGCAGTGATCACGTGTGCCCAGTGCACTAATGGAGATGAAGAAATGCAGTATCACTTCTCGTGGTGCTTCGATATGCTCGTTCATCACGCCACCACAGTGCACTGTTCACCGTGCAACACCTGTCGCAGCTCGTCTTACATTCACTGCGAGGTAAACAGATATAAGACCAAGTTAACACCCTCCTCCCCAAAGCCGTTTAGGGGGAGGATGTTAACTTGGTTCTAAGTTGGGAATTTTCAGCCAATCAGAATAGATCATTTTATAATAGATCGCTAAGCAAACTTAATCAAACTTAAACGCTGGGGTGGAGGATCTTAACTTGGCCTATCTGGGAGGGAGGGGGGCTATTTTGATTCTCGGGGGGGGGGGGTGGTTAGGAAACAAGTTTGTTCAACCAACCATGTAGTATTTTGACATTACCTTACAATTGATACATTCATATTTTACGGACCTTAAGAGAAAACTGAGATTTAAGGTAGCAGTTAATGTGTATGAAAAGTAATTGAATTAAAACAAAAAATATCGACTTTGTCAAAATTGCTAAACCTTCGCCAACTTTTTAGAAATTGCAATTTTTTTTCAGAAGTGCAACTTTTGCTTCGATTCTGGTGAGAATGGGGCCAACTCATGCATCAACTGTCTCCGACAGCCGCAGTCGTTCCCACAACCGCTGGCAGCCGACAACAACAAAGGAGCAACTGAGTTATTTGCTCATACTAATTTAGAACAGCAATCCTATGCAGAGGGAATAAACATGGCGGTGATTCAAGATAGAAGTGGGGACGAGGATGATTGTAGCGACGAGGAGCAGGAAAGATTGGATGTCATCAACCAGCAGATACAACCACATCAGATGAACCCGGGCTACATGTGATTGTTAAAAATGGAGACATATTTGCTGAATCAGAAATCTTGCATAAAGATGTAATGTCAGTCTGAGGATTTAAAATGATGGAAAACAACAAGAACATTTATCAAACAACTTAATGTCTTATTCACCGTTGTATAAGTGAATTTTGGAAAAATAATCAAACTTGAAGTATATGATTAAATTAACACACCATATTTTCGAATTTTGATTTATTGATTAACGGATTCCGTAGTCACTGTTTCTATTGAGTTTTGATGTTTGTGCGTTGACAGTTTTGTCGACATGAGAATTACCAAGTCCGCAATTATAGCTGACAGAGTCAATAAAATCTCGGTAGGGTTTTGTACTGTTGTATTGAATAAACAAACGACACTTGCTGACCACCAGACCATGATCTATACATAGTTTAAAATAATCAGTAGTGAGTAGAACTTTTTCACCTAGCTAAAAGACAGCGAGTATTTTTCCAACTTTTTTTATTATCCCAAAAATCTGTATCTGTCAAATTCTTTTTAAAAAATGATAGTATATTCTTTAAAATAGGGGCGGGTTTAGGGAAGTACTGGTGCGGATTTAGAGGGTAGTACTTATTCGACAAATTCAAAGCGTTGCCCATTTTGGTATTAGTTCAAAACAACACTGTTAGGCCGACTAACACTTAAATGGTTCTAAGGGCGCTTTTGCCGCCAAAATAAACTGTTTTTGGAGAGCAACATTTTTGGCGGGAGTGATCAGAAAATCAATTTGGTCTGTTTAAAAAAAGTAGACAAACTTTCAAAGATTTTTCTAAAATCCACCCTACCCCTCGAGAAAGTTCTAGATGTGCCGGTGCTTTAAGGAACAAAATGTATGAAGCAATTAAGAGTCTGCAAGTCTTTTATATTAAATTTTTCCGCCTGTTTAGATTGCCGCTATCCAGCCCTTTTTAAATTGCCGCGAAAAACTGTCCAACTCTTGAAAAGCACATTTTTGCCACAGTTTGACTGAATTGTGAAAATACGTTAAAAATTTTTCCATCTAATACTTTGAAATTATATGAATGTCTATCTTTTCAATGCAGCCAGAAAAAAAGGGATTTAAAAAAGCAAGGGTTGAAATAATTTTTTCTTTCAAAAAAGAAGAAGAAAGAAGTCAGAGATATCAGGCAGCATGTTGAATCATAACTTATTCAAACTAATTTAGACGGTAGTTAAATTTAGGGACCAACCAAAACAAATATGTCTGCCGGAAAACATCCGTGAAAATTCCAGTATCAACTATATAGTTGTTTCTTAAGTTTGTGCAGAAATCTTCTTAAATCTGGTTCAATCAGGTCGATAAATTTTCTTAGAATATCTGTTGCTTAATTTTGACAGTTTTGAGCCATGTCTCTTCTCCTAAAGGAATCAATTACTTCAAATTTTTCAATGAAGTTAAGATTGCAATTTGAGGTCTTACAATTTTATTGAGAGGTTTAAAAACTATTTATACAAGTATTTCAAACAAGCAACAAACTCATTCGTCTCGTCTTATATTTCTTACTTTTCAAGACTTTTCCTACATCTAATTGCTCGCAGGAAAACATTCTGCTGACGCTGTAGAAAGTTCAATATAGTTTTTTTTTTATTTTCAGTGCCATAAAAAAGCGTACTGACAAATGGGTTGAATATAATGCTTAATAAATAGTATTAACAATATTTGATCAGTTTTTTTCGTATTGTGTAGAAATGAGAAAAATTTACTACAATTGTTCTGAAATAGGTCAATTTGTTCCGAATAATTACTTAGTGGCCACTGGTTACACTGATGTATTCGACGTTTTGGATTTTTTTTGAGAAAATGATGGTTCGATTGAGTTTTTTCTATACTTGTAACAAAAACTTGAGCTTTCCTTGTATTCAGGGTCAATTTTTATCGCTGCCAACAATTTTGATGATTCTGTCAAACCGAGATCATTGTTTTTCCACGTTTTTCAATTCTCCATGAAGTTTTGTATCGTCAGCGATCATTTGATTTCAGAGTTCTCATCTGTTTCAGGAAGATCATTTATATGCAGCAAGATTAGAATCAGGTCAATTACTAACAATTTCCACTGGTTTTATGTTTGACTGAACACATCCATAGCAAACAGCTGTTTTCTATCGTTAAAAAAGGACTTTAGGAGTGAGTGAACAGGGCCTTTTAAGCCATACATTTGTCTTTTCGCAAGTAGAAATGATGATCATTGTATCGATGGCCTTGGACAAATCTAAAAAAATACAACATACAGATTTTTTTCCCTGTTTGTCCAGTAAATTTTTTAAGAGATTCACTATCGCATCATTTCTGGACGTTTTGTTCTGGTAAGCAAATTGTTTCACAAGAAAATTTTATTTTTGGTTAAAAAAATAAACTAAGCGTTTTTGAATATTTTCTCATTGAATTTTTCGCAAATGAGAAGGAGAGAATTTGGTCGACAACTGGTATATTTTAATCGATTACCTGCTCTACGTAAGGTAAAAATTTTGGCAACTTCC